AGAGAGAGAGAGAGAGAGAGAGAGAGAGAGAGAGAGAGAGAGAGAGAGAGAGAGAGAGAGAGAGAGGTATTGATGGCGTTTATAAAGCAACTGCAGGTGGAATTTTTAGGATTTTTTCAAAGGTCCTTATGACCCTGGCTCTGTTCTGGTCTCTGGGGAGTGCCAGTCCAGGTCCTTTTCCACGGGTGATGGCGGTAAGTCATAAAAGATTCAATTGCACCAATGCCCAAATGCTTCCTGTCGTTATAGCCGAAGGAACCGTTGGATAGCATCAGCTGCTCCTTTGGAGGAGAAGAGTATTAACTGTCAGGCTGGCATTTTTCCTTCCTGAGCTCCTCTCAGTCTTATACGTGTACAGACTGCCCGATCTGTCTGAAGCTCTGGAAGACTAACAAACACAAAACTCTGAAGAGCCTAAGGTGCTTCTCCTCCTGGATTACTCTTCCGTTTCTACAGTATCTGTTCTCTTCTTCCGTTCTTGCAGTGGTAGTTTAATCTCACACAACTCTGGTTTGACCCTGAAGGAGTATATTGTATCTCATGAAGCACTCTGCGTTGGGCTGTGGTGAGCATCAGCTGGTTTAATCTCACACAAGCATAGCCTAAAGGGAGCCCCCCTTTAGCCTATAGCCTAAAGGCTGGCCCAACTCAGAGTGCTTTAGGCTATATCATAATGCTTGTGTGAGATTAAACCACCACTGCAAGGGAGGCCCCTTTCTTTGAGAGTGGTGGTCACAACAACAGGTTTGTGCGCCTGCCGTCCCCCCCCAGCCCCCCCCTATGTCCCAATTTGCACCTACTGCACCTCCCCTGCCGCCCACCTCCTCCCCAACCCTGGCCAGCCGGCTTGCTCCAGCCTGTCCAAACTGGCGGTGAAGACCGCAGGAGTCAATGTACATCAGACAACTTACAGGATCACCTCAGGATGCCGCTCGAGGATAGCTAACCCCCCCCCCCCCCCCGTGACAGGGTTGGGGTCGGGGGTAGGACGCTGATACCGAACGGCTTCTAAAATTGGTGAAACATAATGGGCGAAAAGGAGATCAGATACATAGTGCTCCCATGCAGCCGCGGGTGCAAGGATCAGAATGTGGCACGTATGGGTCCTGAGAAAGGACAAGGTTTCAAGGTTTCAGGGGTTTAAAAGATCTCTTAAGAATAGACACTGTAACTGTAAACAACGGGGGGGCTGCTGGTTATCACTGTGTGAGGGAACACATGCACCACACACAGCAGGGCCCTTGACAAATGACTCTGGTCCCTCCTCACTGCTTCCCGGTAGTCAAGGCCTTTAAGGTTCATTACTGTGACAAGCACGGGATTACAAGAGGGTACAAGGTTTAACGGGTACAAAGGGTTTCAGAAACAGGTCTTGAAATGACTACAAAATAAGGGGGGCTGCACACACCGGGGATAGGAGTTCAGCCACTAGCAAT